GACGATCCCGAATCGCGCCAGAACGCCATTCCTGGGACTTGAACACCGCGAAACAGCATAACTTCTGCACCTCATAGGCCTGACTCGTTCCAAAACACAATTTCTGGTACGTTGATCATGGGAACCCGTGGAACTCTTGCAAAGTTTTAAGACGAATGTGCGCGGCGCTAAGGCGAGAGCCACATTTTCAAAAGGAGCCGCCCTCAACCCGTGAAGCTCTTGCAAACTTTTAAATACTGTGCGCGTCGTTAATGCGAGAGCCACATTTTGAAAAGGAACCGCCCTCAATCCGTGAAAATCTTGCAAAGTTTTAAGAGGAGTGTTCGCCGCGCTAAAGCGAGAGCCATATTTTGAAACCGACTCGCCCTCAATCCGTGAAATTCTTGCAATGTGTGCGCGGCGCTAAGGCGAGAGCCACATTACAAAACACCCGCCCTCCATCTGTGAAGCTGTTGCCACTTTTTAAGCTTCAGAGTCATAAGTGGTGAGGAAGTCTCAGGCGAAACGCCCGGCCCGCCGTCAAAACTTGCCTCGGGGTGCGACAGGGAGACGTTTTTTTCAAGGAGAAGGAATGGAGGAGGAGGAGGAGGAGCAGGAGGAGGAGGAACAGGAGGAGGAGGAGTAGAAGTAGGAGGAGGAGGCGGAGGAGGAGGAGGAGGAGGAGGAGGAGGAGGAACAGTTGGAGGAGGAGGAGGAGGACGTTTTGGACGTTTTGGTGGCCAGGCCCGAGGGGCCGTGCTACACCCAACGACGCACACGCACCCTTGGGCAGACACCGAAGCCCCTACCCATGCATGCGCGCGCCGATACAGGCTTCACAACGTACACCCGACGGGCCCCCTCACAAATCAGTTCTCGCCAGCGGCTGGTGCACTATGGGCCCCGTTGGGCACAAATCTTGGCAAGCGGCTGGCGGCGTCACAGATTCGCATCCCCACCGCACGAAGGACACTCTTTGGGACACCTTCGCGCCAGTGGAACAATCCTTTTTTGAATTCTCGGCACATTCTGTGTTCCCTTCCTCGTTCGAGGAAGACACTTCTCCACGAGATGCCTGGGGTCCTCCATGGTGTGTCGGCCACATCTCCAGCATAAGGTCACCCAGTGCTCTGGCCAGAATGCGAGCGCGTGCGAACCATGAAGGAGAACCTCGCCACTCCGAGTGGCCGAAACAGGTACTGGGCGAGGCTCGCTCCCACTGGCCGCCGCGGCCAAGCTGCTTGCTGGCGGCGGGCCCGTGCACGGCGTGGCCCTGAAACTCCATGTGTGGCGGCCAGGCGCGAGCTTGTGGCAGAGGCTGGAGCGCCATCAGCTGCCGCGCTTCGCCATCGCGTGGGCCGAAGACTGCAGGGCTAGGGCAGCAGGCGTCCGCGGAGGGCTTCCTCTCTCGCTGTCGGCCTCTGTCGCCCGCTCGAGCGCCTTGCGCGCACGGCGGCGAACGAGGGCAGCGATCACATCGACCTCGTCGGTGCGTGGTTCGTCGCCCACCATCCCGACCGTCTGGCCCAGCTCAGCCACCTCCCCCGCCCACGCATCGGCAACCTCGCTGCCCAACGCGGGAAGCAGGGAGCCTTCAGTGACGAGCAAGTGGGTATGCTCGTCAGCGTGCCACCCGACCAGCGCTGCCCCCTCGCCTCTGCTGGCTGTGGCCGCGCGGCCCCGCTGCCGGACATCTTCCTTCGCAACACGGCGATGGCTGGAGCAGGCGAGCCGCTAATGCCAAGCTCGAAAAAGTGCCTCGCGATCGGTGACATATCGCAAGGCGCCCGAGGTCGACTCGAGGGCCAAAGCAGGAGCGATAATCTCTGCCCGCGGCACTGTCTGCCGCGGGCCGGTGAGCGCCTCGGCACGTCCCGCAGCGGCCTGCCACTCGCCGCCGGGACCGCGCTCCAGCACGGCCATGGCTGTCCCGCATCGGCGGCTCCTCGGGTCAGACGAGTGCCTTCCCCCCGACCCGTTCCCGAGAACCGTCACCACCCCCTCCTCGTCGCGGTAGGAGTCCAGAGGAGCTCCGAACACGAGCCGGGCGCGAGGCACACGCTCCTCGTCAAACTGCGGCGTCATAAGTGCGGCGGGCGGCACGCCGCGTAGCCACAGGGATGGCTCGGCGCGGCAGCTGGCCAGCGTTCGCGGCACTGGGGCAGCCGACTTGGCGAACGCATCGTTGCCCTCTCCGCCATCGTCACAGTGCCAGATTCGATGGACGAGGTCCTCAGGCTGGCGCCCGCAACGCCTGCACATGCCATCGCTCAGGACGTACCCCGCTCGGAGTCGACGCTCGCGGGGCCGCTGCCCGCCAGGAAGAGGAGCAGGAGGAGGAGGAGGAGGAGGAGGAGGAGGAGGAGGAGGCGGAGGAGGAGGAGGAGGAGGAGGAGGAGGCGGAGGGCATCGTCGCCGCCGCGCGGCTTCGTGCGGCGGCCCCCAGAGGCCCGGGGTGACCTCCGCATACCCTCGGAGGCGCCCAGCCGCGCATCGTCGTCGTCGTCGTCGTCGTCGTCGTCGTCGTCGTCGTCGTCGTCGTCGTCGTCGTCGTCGTCGTGTTCGTCGGAGTCGGAGGAAGGGGAAGAGGGGGTGCAGGGGGATGGGGGAGGAGGCGGAGGAGTTGCCGTGGAGGAGGAAAGGGAACAGCACGACCGTCAGACTCAGATTTGTTGTGGCGGGCGGCTCTCCGGGAGTCTTGGAGCTTCTCCAGCGCTCCTGGGAGCCTTCAGGCCCTGGGTTGCTCTCCGCCAGCTGCGCTCCCGTCGAGAAGCAGCACTTCAAGTCCTCGGCGCTCCAGAGCAACACCTCGCCTGACCTCGAGACTATGCTATTCCACTTGTCGCTGTGGGGCAAAATCGGCATGTCACCCTCGATGGTGTTCTGGATGAAGTTGGACGGGATGATGTTCACGACCTCATGACCAGGGCCGCAGGGGAGGCCAGAACCGTCCCGACCGGTCCGACTGGAGGGCGCCGCTGGAAGGGACCATCCTCCACAGCCCCCTCCGTGGCCACTTTGGCTCAGGCGCCTTCGGCCCCAGGCGAGGGCCCGCGCCCCTCATACCTGGCGGTGCGCACAAGGGGGTAGGGGGAAGGGGGGACGGCTTCTTGGGAGTAGGCTGCTCCTCGGGAGGCGCGGGCCTTGTCTGTAGATGTAGGGCCGGCGCTTGCAAGGACGCCCCCCCCCTTCCCCCACACCCCCTTCCCAGACCCCCGACGTCATGATTTTCTAATTGCGTCGACCCCCAAGAGTTCTCGACCCGTCCCCCGGATCCGTCTCTCATCCTGAGACGTTTTTGACGGCCCCGAGGCCCGGTAAGGGCCCCTAGAGACCGAAAATCAGGAAAACCTCCCGTCACGTTTTTGTTCATTGCCCGAGGGGGTCTGGGTTTTGCGCGCCGCCAACATATGTCGCACCGCCATGCACGGCCCCGCCGCCGAACTCCACGCCCACGTCGACGCGCTCGGAGACGCCGAGGCGCTGGGCTCCGTGCTCTCGAGGGCCCTCCGGTGCCCGGCGCTGTCCCGCGAGGCCGCCCTGGCCGCGCGCCTCCGCGGGGCGCTCCACGAGTGCATCGCCGGCAGCCTCGGGGACCCCGTCGCGCTTGGGAGCTGGCTCGAGGAAGGAACAGCGCCACAAGCCCACTCTGGGCTTCTGAACAAGCGTGGGGTGGCCCCCCCCCCTGGCGGGGGTCAACCTCGCCTCCTCGTCGCGCCGCGACGGGGGTCGGAGCGCCTTCGGCGCGCGGTGGCGGCCCGCGGCGGGGGTCGACGTGGGGCGGTCGGCAGGGGCGGCGCCCCCCCCCGGCGCTTCTCGAGAAGCTCGGAGTAAGCTCTCGGAGCTCCGCGCGGAGTTCTTGGATCGGCGCGGGGCGCCCCTGGCTGCGCGCCTCTCTCCCGCGCCGCCCCCGTCGCGCTCTGCGCGGCGTCCGGGGCGGGGGCTCCGGCGCCGGCCTCCGAGACGTCTGCGCGGAGCTCTGAGAGCTTTGTGCCCTGTGCCGTTCTTTGTTCCTGCGCGGGCGGGACATCCTCGCCGGGGCTTCCCCTCCGAGGCCGAAGGCGTGCTCCCATCGGCTCTGGACGCCCGAAATGGGCACGGAAAGAGTGGGTACCATGCCCAACAGCGGATCTTGCTCACTTTGAACAGGACTCGTTGTCCACGCCGCCGCGGCCTGTGTCCATTCGAGACAGATGGCCGCCTGCCCAACAGCGGCCGCTGTTGGTTTGGGACAACATTTGTTGTTGGGCATTGTGCCCATTCTTTCCGTACCCATTTCGGGCGTCCACATCGGCTACACGTGAGAGTGACCCTTCGCCGGAGCGGCCCTCGGTGCGGGCACGCTGGGGTCCCCAGATGCTTTTTTGCGCGACGCGGCAGAAGCGTCTGGCGCGCTCGGGCTTGGCCTCCCCGCGGCCCCCGCAGGTCGCGCACCAGAGGGCACTCCTGCCCAGGATCGCTCTTGCGCGTGGCCGATCCGAGGCCTGGCCCGCGGGGATCCAGCTTCCTGCCGTCGGGGGCCGCGGCGATGACAGCGGTGGGCCGTCGCCCCTCTCCAAGGCGATGCTGCTGTTCGACCACGACGGCGACGGGGTGATCACGCGGGAGGAGTTCGAGGCAACCTTCCAGCACTTCGACCGAGACGGTGACGGGGTGATCACAAAGGAGGAGTTCAAGACCACCCTCCAGATGGACCAGCCCGAGGAGAGCGAGGCGGGCCAGCCCGGGGAGGGCGAGACGAAGGTGTATTTCCTGTACGCCAGCCCTGGGAAGGCTTCGGGTTGCGCGCAAACAGCCCCCCCCCCCCGAGGTCCCGGCAGGCCCCAACAGGCCCCCCGAGTAGTCCTCGCTGGCCTCAACAGGCCCCCCGAGTGATCTCTGGCGGTCTCAACACACTGGCGCCGCCTCCGGCAGCGCCGCTGGGGCGCTCCGCGCCCCAGGGCTTGAGGTGCTGAGACCGCCCCGGGCTACTCCGACCTCCTTAATAAGCGTCGGGGGGGGCGGCGCCCCCCCGCCGACAGCCCCGCACTGACCCCCGTCGCGGGCAGCCACCGCGCGCCGAAGGCGCTCCGACCCCCGTCGCGACGCGACGTCGGGGGGGCACCGCAGGCGCGCGGCGTCAGGGCGGCCTCGCGGGACAGCGCCGGGCACCAGAGGGCCTCGAGAGCACGGATGCGCAGCGCCTCGGCGTCTCCGAGCGCGTCGGCGTGGGCGGGGAGTTTCAGAACCCCAGGGCACTCGAAGGGCCTCTCGAGGCCAGAGCTGGGCCTACATACTCCGCGGGGCTGTCGAGAGGCATCGCCTGGACTGCCTCGAGGGGGGGGGGGGAGGCCTGTCTCTGCGCGCAGCCCCGGGCCTTCCCGGCCGGCCCGCTCGTCCACCGGCTCGACGGCTGGCCGTACCCGCAGCCCATCTCTCGAAGAAGAAAAATCGCCACAAGCACAACCTTCTTGGCGCTCCGCGCGGATCTCTTGGCTCCGCGCGGGCCCCCCCCCCCCTGGGGGCGCCTCTGGCGGCGCCCCGAGCGCGCTCCGCGCGCCAGGGAGGGGGACCAGCGCAGATCCAAGAACTCCGCGTGGAGCGCCAAAAGCTTATGTTCCCAGACATGCGACGTCCTGACTTTTTCAGGACGGCGTCCCTGGAAGTCCCGACCCTTTCCCCGGGACCGTTTCTTCGTGCTGAATCGTTTTTTGACGGTCCCGAGGCCTGGCGGAGGGCCCCCTGAGGCCGAAAATAGCCAAAAACCTCCCGTCCTGATTTTTTAATGACGCGAGCATGTCTGGGTTCATGCCGGATATTCTTCTTCCAATCCCGCCCGTCCGAGCCACGGACGAGTGCGACCGCGTCCGGCGCGCCCTGCAGTCCGCCGCCGCGGCAGCGGGCCGCCGGGGGGCTGCCCTGGACGCGCGGGTTCGCGTGGCCGTGGCGACGAAGTGCGGGTCGACGCTGCGCGAGGTCCTCAAGTCGGGCATGTCCCCCTACAGGAGGATTATCCCAAAGCAGTCAACAAAATGTACGGTGACGATTTTTTTTTGTGTGCGCAAATGTTTAAAGTATTTTTTCCCCTGAAATCCGCCTGACCTGACCTGACGCGAGGTGCTGCGCCGCGCCCGGGCGCGCGAGGCCTCGCAGGGCCGCGCCGTGCTGCACTGGGCCACGCACGGGGCCCAGGGCCCGCCCGCCGTGCTGCTGGAGGACGGCAGGGGCGAGGGGCACTGGAGGGGCCCGCAGTGGCTGCGGCAGCTGCTGGGCTCCACGGAGGGCGCGGGGTGCGGGCTGGAGCCCGCGGGCGAACGACTCCTCCTCCTCCTGCTCCTGCTGCTCCTCCTCCTCCTGCCCCTCCTCCTCCTGCTGCTGCTCCCCCTCCTCCTCCTCCTGCTGCTCCTGCTGCTGCTCCCCCTCCTCCTCCCCCTCCCCCTCCTCCTCTGCCTTCTCCTCCTCTCCTCCTGCTCCTCCTCTCCGTCCTCCTCCTCCTCCTGCTTCTCCTGCTGCTCCTCCTGCTCCTCTTCCTCCTCCTTCTCCTCCGCCTGGTCCTCCTCTTCCTCCTCCTCCCCCCCCCTAGCTGTCGCACCCCGAGGCCCGTTTTTTTGGGCGGTCCGGGCGTTTCGCCTGAGACTTCCCCACCACTTATGACTCTGAAACTTTTAAAGTGACAACAGTTTGACAGATGGAGGGCGGGTGTTTTTGAAAATGTGGCTCTCGCCTTAGCGCCGCGCACGTTCATTTTTAAATGTTGCAAGAGTTTCACATATTGAGGGCGGGTGGTTTTCAAAATGTGGCTCTCGCCGTAGCGCCGCGCACATTCGTGTAAAGCAGTTGCAAGAGTTTCACGGATTGAGAGCGGCTCGTTTTCAAGATGTGGCTCTCGCTCTAACGCCGCGCACATTCGTTTAAAGCAGTTGCAAGAGTTTACGGATTGAGGGCGGGTGGTTTTCAAGATGTGGTTCTCGCTCCAATGCCGCGCACATTCGTTAACCACAAATGCAAGAGTTTCACGGATTGAGGGCGGGTCGTTTTCAAAATGTGGCTCTCGCCTTAGCGCCGCGCACATTCGCTAAAACGATGCAAGAGTTTCACGGATTGAGGGCGGGTCGTTTTCAAAATGTGGCTCTCGCCTTAGCGCCGCGCACACTCGCTTAACACAATGCAAGAGTTTACGGATTGAGGGCGGGTAGTTTTCAAAATGTGGCTCTCGCCTTAACGCCGCGCACATTCGTTAGAAACAAGTGCAAGAGTTTCACATATAGAGGGCGGGTGATTTTCAAACTGTGGCTCTCGCTCTAGCGCCGCGCGCACTTGTTTCTTAACAGTTGCAAGAGTTTCACGGATTCCCATGATCAGCGTACCAGACATGCTGTTTCGGAAGGATTCAGGATTATGCGGGCGCAACAGTTTGTGTTGATTCGCTGTGTTGAAGTCTCAAAAATGGTTTTCTGGCACGATTCTGGATCGTCAAGATGCAGCAGTCAAGTGGATACGTGGCGTTGAAATCCCGAGAGCAATGTTGTGGCATGCTTCAGGATCTTCAAACTGTTGTCTTTCAGCGAGGCAGTTCCTTCAATGGAAATGAACCGTTGTCGGGGCCTATGGCCAGGGAGCTTGGAGGGAGGGTTAATTCCAACATCGTTGATGACTCTTGGGCTTCCACTGGTCCTCCTCCTCCTCCTCCTCTTCCTCCTCTTCCTCTTCCTCCCCCTCCTCCTCTTCCTCCTCCTCCACCTATTCCTCCTCCTCCTCCTCCGCCTCCTCCTCCGCCTCCTCCTCCTCCTCCCTCCTCCTCCTCCTCCTCCTCCTCCTCCTCCTCCTCCTCCCCCTTCTCCTTCTTCTGCTCCTCCTCCTCCTCCTCCTCCTCTTCCTCATTCTGCTGCTCCCCCTCCTCCTCCTCCTCCTCCTCCTCCTCCTTCTCCTCCTCCTCCTCCGTGTCTGCATGTTACCGCGGCCTCGCGGGCCGGGCCCATGGGCCGCGGCCCTGCGGATGCGGGGCGTCTTGTCGCGCCTGCTCCGCGCCGAGCGCTCCCGTGCGACCGCGCACCCGCGGGATCGCGCCCCGGAATCCAGACCGCGAGGGCGCGGATGCGGAGGTGTTCGCCGCCCGTGAGGAGCTCTGCTTCCTGAGCTTCTGCTACGGCGAGGCCTTCGGCCTGGAGTTCCGGAGGGCCGGGTGCCCCTACGTGGTGTGCCAGCGGGCCGGGGTCCGAGACAGGACCGCGAATAGGTTCACGGACGCGTTCTACAAGAGCCTTGCCGAGGGAGACGGCGTCCCGAAGGCGTTCAAAGTAGCCAGGGAGGTGCTTCTCGTGTCGGGGAATGACTGGGCTCTCGTGAGGGAGGCACACAATTACTTGCTGCTGCACGCGCACGACGAGTCTCACTCTGATGAGCTAGCCGAGCCTGCGCCAGATTTGGCTCGACAAAACAGTGGAAGGAGCACGTCACCGAGCACGCCCTGCCGTTTGCCGTCACTTCCAGAGCATGCCCTCCAACCTGGGAGTGGCGAGGAAGCACTGATGGGAGTGACGGCCGCCTTCAACTGGAGAGAACCGTCGGATTCGGGCATCGAAGACTATGTGGGTGGGGAGGAGGATCTCGTCCGCCTGCTGAGTCTCTTCGAGGCCGGGCGGAGATGCGTCTGCGTCACGGGCAAGCCCGGGATAGGCAAGACCAGCCTGGTCAAGCAGCTGATCACTTACTCCCAGATGTACGGCCGCACGTTCGACCACGCGGCGGTGTACGTCTCCTGCTCCGACGCGCCGTGCGCCCCGCCGCCGTGCGACGAGGAGTGCTCGGAGGGGCGCGCTCTCACCGAGCTGGCGCCCGCCGCCGCACCGTGCCTCCCCGGCCTGGTTGCGAGGGCGGCCGCGGACGTGGCGGGGCAGGCGGCGCAGCAGTCGCAGTCGCAGGCCTGGGCGTGGTCTCGGGGCCAGGGCACCGACGCCCAGGAGAGCGCGGTCCTCCGCGACGCGATGGACGAGCTGGAGAGGCGGGCGAAGAGCAATGGTCGCTTCGTCCTGGTCGCGCTGGACGACGTGGCCGCGGTGCATCGCGAGGACAGGAGGCTGTTGGAGCGCCTGCTGAACGACTACCATCGGTTGCGGGTGCTGTTTGTCATGCGCGAGGAGTGGACTGGCGGAGATCTGGCCGGTCACAAGGTGGTCACGATGAACCTCCGCGGCTTGAGCCACGACTACGCAGCTCGGCTTTTCGTAAGGCGGGTGCATCGCAGGCTCAAGTCCGACGACTTTCCTGACTTTCCGGAGTATCTGCGCGCAGCTTTCAACAAGACGCCCTCATCAAGTGAAGAGGCCGAGAAACAGTGTGAGTACGCCCAGAAGCAGCTCCAACGGCACCCCGTTCTGATGCAGTGCGACGGCAATCCAGCCGCCATTCGCGACAAGGCCAGTTGCGTCACAGGCGGCCTGGCCACTCTCATGGACCTGCTCGAGGCCTGAGCGGCGTCGCGTACTCTCCTGAGCGCGACCGTCGCCGTCGTCACCGTGAAGCTGGGGCGATCCACGCCTCGGGGTTTAGATGGACAGCCTGCTCCCCCAGCACGGCGGCACGAGTTCGACGACGTTCTCCAGTGCGGCGTCAGGCCTTCTCCTCCACAGCAGTCTTTCGACCATCCTCGGCGGCGAGCTTGGGGGGGAAGAGAGAAGGAGAAGGCCTGCTCAGAAGGCGGCAGAACTTCTCAGACGCCCTCGCGCCTTCCGAGAAGTTCCCAGTGCCTTTGGGGAAGACTTAGAACATTTCTCAAATGGCGGGGGGACTTCCGAGCCTTTGGGAGACGGCCCGCCCCTTCTGACTTGCCCCCCGCGCTCGCAGCCAATGCCCGGGCGTCGCAATCCAGCAGCCCGCGCCCTGGTCAACAGGATGCGTCATCGCCGTCTCGCCGTCTTAGTCGCCGCCGCCGACGCCGCCTCTGCCGCCCGGCCGGTGCCGCCTGCGCCGCCGCCCAGGTCCCGCTCAAATCCGACGTCCAGACCAATATTCGAGTAGGGGATCGATCCACTACATAATTCATTTACCCCAGCACTATTTTGTTCGTAGAATCTACGGAACAGACGTAGAATGATCCGCATATCGACGAACATTCTACGTACTTTTCGTAAGTTCGGCGAGAAAACCAATTTTGGGGTAAATTAATTCTGTAGTCGATCCTCTACTGGATCTTTTGGAGTCTGTCGTGGCAAGATTTGTGGTGAGGGTCCAGCCGTGACGACAAGAGCCTGCAGAAACGCGCAGAAATCTTCTGGGAAGAACGCGCCGCAACCATCGCCGCCGCCGCCGCCGCCTCTCCCGCCTCCTCCGCCGTCGCCGCCGCCGTCGCCGTCGCCGTCGCCGTCGCCGTCGCCGTCGCCGTCGTCGTCGTCGTCGTCGTCGTCGTCGTCGTCGTCGTCGTCGTCGTCGTTGTCGTCGTCGTCGACATCGTCGCCGTCGCCGTCGCCGTCGCCGTCGCCGTCGCCGTCGTCGTCGCCGTCGTCGTCCTCGCCGGCGAGGACGGCAGAGGACGTGCTGCAGGCGCCCTCCGGTGCCCGCGGCGCGCGGCTGCGGGGGGCGGGTCGGCGATCGGCGATCGGCGATCGGCCGCTCGATCCGTGCGGTGGGGGCTCTGGGTCGGTCGCGCGCCGAGGGGGTGAGTGAGATCCGAGGCGGGAAGTTTATGCATGACCACCGCCCGGAGGATCCGTCTTCGGGGGCCTCGGCGGGCGGTGGACGAGGATACATTCGAGCCCCCGGGGGCCAAAATACAGCCAGATCCACCGCCCGCTGGGGCACCAGGACGTCAGGAGGAGGAGGAGGAGAAGGAGGAGAAGGAGGAGGAGGAGGAGGAGGAGGGGAGGGGGAGGAGGAGGAGGAGGAGGAGGTGGAGGGAGGAGGAGGAGGAGGAGGAGGAGAAGGAGGAGGAGGAGGAGGAGAAGGAGGAGGAGGAGGAGGAGGAGGAGGAGGGGGAGGGGGGGAGGAGAAGGAGGAGGAGAGGGGGAGGAGGAAGGGGGGAGGGGAGCAGGAGGAGGAGGAGGAGGAGGAGGAGGAGGAGGAGGAGGAGGAGGAGGAGGAGGAGGAGACCCTCTTGATTTCTTCGCGGGCGCCGACGGGCGTGACAGGGCGGGGGAGGGGCGGGGGGGCGCGAGGGGTTCGGCCATGCTCAGCCACGCGCGGAGGGCGGTAGGTGGCGGGGGGTAGGCCTCTTATATCCTCATCCTCATCCTCATCCTCATCTTCATCCTCGCGATCTCCTCCTCGACCTCCTCCTCCTCCTCCTCATCCTTCTCGACCTCCTCGTCGACCTCCTGAGGCCTCCAGCGGGGTAGGGGGTGGGGGAAGGCTTCTTAGAAGCACCCCAGCTTCTTAGAAGGTGCGGGCCTTCTCTGCAGATGCAAGGCCGGCGCCTTCTAAGAAGCAGCCTCCTAAGAAGCCTTCCCCCCTCCCCTATACCCCCCTCTGCGCGCCGCCAACATGTCGCGGCTCGCGCCGGCGCTGTCTGGGAGTGCTCGAGAGGGGCTGCTTCCCCGGCGGCGCCAGCGCGAACCGTGACGTGACCACGGGGGGGGCGGGGCCGGGCGTGCTCCAGAGGGTGGCGGGGCTTCTCAAAAGCCTTCGGCCTGTGAGAGGCCCTCGGTGGCTTCGGGGAGACGTCCTGGAGAGCTTTTCGGAGGCCCGCGGAGCCTTCGGGCAGGAGGCCCGCCCCCCGTGCCTTTCGTCCCCCCCTGGGCGCAACGCCGATAGGGATCAGGCACGCCTGGGTTTTTCGGAAGCGGCCTGATGTGCCGTGGCCCCTCCCACAGGTCTTCCCCCAGCGCTCGTCGTGCACCTTTTCTGCAACTGAGGCCCCAAGCGGGGCTCCGTTCGTTCTGCAACGCGAGATTCACGGCAAATGAGCCGTGCGCGACCCCAAGTAGGGGGAAGTTTCCTCTGTTGCATGGGCGCATTGTGCTTGGCACTGCTTGGCACTGCTTGGCATTATTGCTTGGCGCATATTGCTTGTCATATTGCTCTGCGTTGTTTGGTATTGCTTGGCATTGCTTGGCACTCCTTGGCATTGCTTTGCGTTACGCGGCATCGTTTATTCTTCAGGCTTACGCCACATCCGCCGACCCCTTAAATGCGCTCGAGCAAGACATGTCTGACGCTGTTGAAAGAGCAGGCGGAAATGTCGGGTGCACAGAAGAAACACAATTCATCGGGGGCGAGGCTCTGTCGGAAATGCGCGGAGGGGCGAGAGAACGAGGTGCGACGTGACGTGCGCGGCGTGCGGAGGAGCGTTCTCGGACACGAAACATTTGCAGCAGCAGCAGGTGGGGAATCATCAAAAGGCGACAAGAGCGGCGCGTGCAAGAGAAGACTACCGAAGTCGCAGAGGTCGTTTGGCGTCTCGGAGCTCTCGTGGGCCGTCTTGGAGGCTTCTTGGGGCCTTCTTGGCCCGTGTTTAGGCCCTCTTGACCCCGGAAAAGTCCCGTGATGCGCTCGTGCCGGGCCCGGGGGGGTCAAATCTCCGGTTTGAGGTCCCTGGGGGGGTATGGGGGGGGAAGGGAGGAGGGCAAGGCTGGGGAAAGAGGATGAGGAAAAGGAAGAGAGGATGCAAGAGGGAAGGAGAGGAAGAGGAGGGCGGAGGGACGAGGGAGGAGAAGGGTGCTGAAGAGGAGGAGGAGGGAGAGGAACTGGAAACACGATCTACTTACAGTCGGCATGTCACGCCACCGTGCCCGGGTTGTGGGTCTGAGGCTTGTGCGATGTTCGCTGGGATCTCAGGGGAGGCATCTCGCAGGCTTCGTGGAGGTAGTTTCGAAGTTCACTGATAGCCGTTTTGGGACCTCTTGGGGCCTCTTTTGGGCCTCTGGGGCGATTTTTGGGGGTCTTTTGGGGGTCTCTTGGGACCTTTTGGGCGGCTCGTGGAGTGTCCCAGGGCCAGGTGGGAGCGGAGGGCTCGGATTTTCGGTTCGGGCTCCGCCGCTGGGGCCCCTCTAGGAGCCGTCTTGGGATTCTTTTGGGCCGATTCGGGGGCCTTTGGGCCGTCTTGGCGCCGTTTTGGGCAGTCTTGGGCGCCTTTTGGGATCCTTTTGGGACGTCATGGGGTGGCCTTGGGGGCCTCTTAGATTGGCTGCAACTCCGTGCAGGCTGAAAAGTCGTCAATGCTAAAAATGTACGTTTCCCAATGGAAAATCAATGATTTTCGCTGTTTTGGACCTTCTTGGAGCGCCCCTTCGGGGCCTGTTGGAGCGTCTTGGAGGCATCCTGGGCTGTCTTGAGCCCATATTGGGGAATCTTGGAGCCACCGAAGGCCACGTTGAGGTCCTCTTGAGCCGTCGTGGTGCGTCCCGGGGCCATTTCGAGGCCACCGGAGGAGTCCCTGCAGTATTTTCGGGAGCGGATGACCCCCCCGGGGGAACCGGGAAATTTAAACAGACCCCCCCCCCGCCTCCAAATCGACCGGACCGGGCTCCCGGGGGAGGGGTTTGGGGAGGGGGAAGATCTCACGCGCCGATGAACCCCAAGGGGTCGGCGGATTATATTGCTTGGCACATTGCTTGGTATTTCTTGGCATTGCCTGACGTTGTGTGGCATTGCTAAGATTTGTTTGGAGTTGTGTGGCATTTCTTGGCATTGCGTGGCATTGCGTGGCATTGCGTTGCTTAGCTTGGCATACTGCTTGGCATTGCGTGGCGCGGCAGCAAGTGATCAAGCCCAAGAAATTCAGGGACCAATGAACCAAGACCAAGGAATCAAGACCAAGGAAGCACATAACAAAGGAACCACGGAACCAACACCAAGTACCCACGACCAAGGATCCAAGACCACAGAACCAACGAACCGTGGCCCAGGAACCAACGAACCAATACCAAGGAACCACGGAACCAAAACCAAGGAGCCAAGACCAAGGATCCAGGACCACGGAACCTATGAACCGTGGCCCAGCAACCAAGGAACCAATACCAAGGAACCACGGGACCGAGACCAAGGACCCAAGACCAAGGATCCAAGACCAAGGAACCAATGAACCGCGACCCAGGAACAAGGAGCCACTGCCAAGGAACCAAGGAATCAGAACCAAGGAACCATGGAGCCAGGATCAAGGAGCCAGGGAGCCAGTACCAAGGAACCAAGGAACCGTGACGAGCCAGGGAACCAAGGAACCAAGGAACAAGGAATCAAGGAACCAAGACTATTTTTAAGTCGGACCTTTCCCTTTACAGGAGGAGTATTCCAAAATAGTCAAAAATAGTCAGGGGACGATTTTTTGACTACTTGTGACGTCTTTTATTTTTTCTCAAAAATCCGCCTGTAGGAGGACATGCCCGACCTAAGACTACTTAGAAGGAGCCCAAGATACCAAGACAACGGAAGCAAGGAACCCAGATTAAGGAACCACCACACCAAGACCAGGGAACCATGAAACCAAGACCAACGAACCCAGGCATCGCCTTGTAAGGAAACGCGGCCAAGGAACCCTGGGGAAGGCCCTTGTAAGGAAGCGCGACGGAGGAACCTTGGGGAATGCCGGCGCCAGCTGGGGGCCGCACCCACTGGTTCTTCAGATATAAGAGCTTCTTGGCAACGCCAGATCGGGGAAATTTTGGAGTGTATCCGTGCTGCTGTCCACCACTGGCCGCCAGCGGGGGCAGGGCATGTGCAAAAGTTTGGCTCGGGAGGCCGGGTTTTTATCCGCGCCCTCATCCTTGTCCCTTGTGGGGTTGGGGCGGGAACATGGGGTACACGCCGGTCGTTGAAAGCAGGTATTTTTGGATTCCCAGATCCCAGTCTACTTCTAGTGCCTTCTTACTTCAGGGATCGATCTGCGTTTGCTGAGTTTTGTTTTCCCCTGGGAAGGTCTGAACCCAATCTACTTCATCCGCCTTCCTATTTCATGTTTCTACCTACTTCTTCCGACCGACGTGTATGGATAACACTGAACCGCCCAGCAGTCCCCCATCCCGGGGGCAGGAGGAAGAATCGAGGATCAAGGATATTGGACGTTTTTCGTCCTTGCTGGACCTGGGGCGCACTGGTCGCCACGGCTAGACCAGGCGAGGTCCGAGGGCCGATCCGGAGAGGGGAAGATCCGGACCTCGAGCGTCATGGGCAGCAACACGTTCGTTGTTTGTTTTGTCACGGGTTCGGCGTCCAGGTAGCTGTTTCTGGCCACGGGGCTATCAAGAGCCGATCCGGGACGACCAAAAGGGGGAGGGGGAGGGGGAGGAGCAGGAGGGAGGAGGAGGAAGAGGAGGAGAAGGAGAAGGAGGCGAAGGCGAAGGGGTAGAGAAGAGCAAGGCCTTAGATGGCTTACGGGACTTTTCGCAAACGGCATAAACAACACCTTTTGGATGTTAGCTCGGATTTCTTGTGTCAGCGCTGAACCCCCCTACTCACACGCACGCCCCTGGTGGCGCCTCTTGCGCCGCCCCCAGCGCGCTCTGCGCGCCAGGGAGGAGGTGCGGGGGTGCGGGGACGAAGGTCCGGCGCGGACCTCAGAAAAGTCCGCGCGTGGCCCCACAGGTATGCGATCATGCTTCTTTTGCCCTGCTGCTTCTGCACGGGTTTGGAGGGTCCTGGGTATGGGTACTCTCCTGGCGTGCCCTTGCCTCCAACCCCCCCCCTTGCCCCTCGTTGGCGGCCGGGCGTCGTCGCTAATCACCGGCGCCGCCCCGTTGGTTTTCAATCTCGCGGGCGCCCCCCCGCGATTCGCCCGAGCAGGGGGAGCTATTCTTTAGACACGCGCCCCCCACGGATCTGTGAATCGCAAGCTGACGTTAGGGGTACTCTCCTCCAGCGCAGTCGCCACTCACTTGATGTGTTCCGTCTTGCTGGCCGTGCATGGTGCGGGGACGTGGGTCACCAGCACTTGGAACCGGCGGTAAACCGTCAACCTGGTTACCGCCGGAAACCTCGTAGAGCTCTTTTTTTGCACGGCGATCCTCGGAACACATGAAGAAAGCTTCTGGAGCAGGAAACGAAAAACTCGAAAAATCACGTTTTTCTGTTTTTATCCAACGTCGGTTCCTCCAAGTGTTTTGATAGTAGTACTGCACCCACGGACCTGAGAATTTGACTGGCAGATGCGAAATAACCAACTACAGGTGCGAAAAATCTGGTTTCTCAAAATGAATGGTCAAATATCTTTCAAATCAAAGCAAAACCGACCCAAAGTCACCACATTGTCTCTTAAGGTCGGTTCGGCTAACTAGCTCCACCCCGCGCCGAAATTCCTCTAGCTCATCGATGCCGGAGAGCTCTACGAGGTACGAATTGTTAGAACTGCAAAATCGGCTGAGCCAGGCCGCGGAAGGTATGCGTCCCTTGTCGACATTTCGCCAACTAGCTCCACCCTGTCGCCGGATTCCTTTAGCTCTTCTACCATCAGAGCTCTACGAGGCACTAGAAGTGCAAGCAGACGCCTGAAAGAACTAGAAGTGCAAGCAGATAGCTTCTGATGGCATTTTCTGTAGAACTGGAAAATTGCATTTTTGGACTGTCAACGCGAAGTCGGTCCCTGGCTTCGCTCGGGAGAACTGTTCGACGGAGTGAACTGAGAATTTGTGAAGTAACTTCTGTAATGCAAAGCTTCGCTCTGCGCAATTAGCAGCCCAAACGTGAATGATCGAGCTAATCACCGGCGCCGCCCCGTTGGTTTTCAATCTCGCGGGCGCCACCCCGCGATTCGCCCGAGCAGGGGGAGCTATTCTTTAGACACGCGCCCCCCACGGATCTGTGAATCGCAAGCTGACGTTAGGGGTACTCTCCTCCAGCGCAGTCGCCACTCACTTGATGTGTTCAGTCTTGCTGGCCGTGCATGGTGCGGGGACGTGGGTCACCAGCACGAGCTCCCCTCTGTGCTGCGCGCGTCACGCCGCCCCTGGAGGACGGGATCCCGAGCCAGAACGCTGCGCGTGCGCGGGTGGAGAGCCAGCTCGCAGTCCGCAGTCATCGTGGAGTTCGTTCTGGAGGATCTGTCGAAATCGCTTGAGCATCTTGGTCTGCCTGCCCTGCGGTGTACAGGTGCATGGCTTGCCTGATCCAGCGCCGCGTGCACCCGAAGCGGCGGTCACCCCTCTCGACTGCTGCCGGCGCCACAGATGAGGCAGGCGTGCTCCCACGAAGAGGCTCCCACGGGCCCGAAGGGTCCGGCAATCGTCAAGAGATGGATTCCCGATTCTCCACCTTCTGTTCTGGAGGAGGAGGAGGAGAAGGAGGAGGAGGAGAGGTAATCAGTGAGGTGGAGGAGGAAGGGAGGTAGGGAGGACATCTATGTATATATGTGTATCAGAGTGAGGGGCCGAACGGTCATTCACTGTCCGTGGGTGCGTGGCTGAAGTGGGAACCCACGGCGAGGATTCTGCTTGCTTTGTTGCGTCGCCCCCCCCGCGACCCGGCCCGCGACCCACCCGCGACCCACCCGCGACCCGCCCGCGATCCACCCGCGACCCGGCCCGCGACCCGCGACCCGGCCCGCGACCCGGCCCGCGACCCACTCGCGACCCACCGTCGACCCACCAGCGACCCACCTGCAACCCAACCCGCGACCCACCCACATTGTTTTAGCACAAAACCGGCGCCTGCGGCGGGCTCGTTGTATAGCTTGAAAATTTATCCGGCTGCGGCCGGCTTCTTCAGAGCCTCGCAGACTGCCGACATCCCCCGCCGCCACCTCACTCTTCTCCGCAAATGCGGGGTGCTACGTATGCACCCCGCAGTTGCGGAGGAAGGAGGAGGAGGAGGAGGAGGAGGAGGAGGAGGAGGAGGAGGAGGAGGAGAGGAGGAGGAGGAGGAGGAGGAGGGAGGAGGAGAGGAGGAGGAGGAGGAGGAGGAGGAGGAGGAGGAGGGAGGAGGAGGAGGAGGAGGAGGAGGGAGGAGGAGGAGGAGGAGGAGGAGGAGGAGGGAGGAGGAGGAGGAGGAGGAGGAGGAGGAGGAGGGAGGAGGAGGAGGAGGAGGAGGAGGAGGAGGAGGAGGAGGAGGAGGAGGAGGAGGAGGAGGAGGAGGAGGAGGAGGAGGAGGAGGAGGAGGGAGGAGGAGGAGGGAGGAGGAGGAGGAGGAGGAGGAGGAGGGAGGAGGAGGAGGAGGAGGAGGAGGAGGAGGAGGAGGAGGAGGAGGAGGAGGAGGAGGAGGAGGGAGGAAGGAGGAGAGGAGGAGGAGGAGGAGGAGGAGGAGGAGGAGGCGGAGGAGGAGGGGGGAGGGGGGGGAGGGAGGGGGAGGAGAGAAGTCCACTCCGTGCATGCTCGGATGTCCAGAATGTGCTGACAGATTTTGGCACTACTGGAAGTGCCCTTGTTTCCTGAGGCTCCTCACAGAAGTTGTTGGACACCCTCTTGACGCCCGTCTTCTCGCTCGCCTCGGCGTCCTTTCCCCCTCTCGTGCCTCTTTCACCGTCCCTGTCTCTGCCTACTTCTTGTTCAATGCCTTGCACCCTCTCGTATCTGTGTCAGCGCCTGTGATCCCGCCAGTCACGCAATCCAGCGTGCTCAGGGCGGTGAGGTTTCAGGTGGCCCGCTCAACGTGCGGTGGCCTCTGCGCGTGAGGATGAACCCCAGGCGCCCCCAGCTACGCCCGAGGAGGAGGAGGAGGAGAAGGAGGAGGAGGAGGAGGAGGAGGAGGAGGAGGAGGAGGAGGAGGAGGATATGTCCCTGGTGCCTCGCTTCGCTCCTCCCCCTGGGAGGCCGCGCTCCTGCCCGCCCCCGGCGCCGCGGCGCGGCGGCGGCCCGCCACCGCGCAGCTCCCCCGCGCCGGCTTCGGCAGGCGCCGCGCGCCGCCCATCTGCAGGCAGGGCTGCTGCAGGCCCCCAATGCTCACAGGAAGGGAAACACACGCACAAGTCATCGTCGACCCCCAGGAGAAGATGGGAACCTATGGGAAGTGGGGGGGGGGAGACGAAAGCCCCGAACGGATGGAAGGATGTGGGGACTCGTGGGATATGTGCCTGTGTGTTTGTGTATGTCCCAGGGCCCCGTCATACTCACCGAGCGCGTTCCGCCATTTGCAAAGTGCCTACTACTCGCAAGCGACCGAGGCAAAAACAGGTCTTCCTCTGCGTCATGGATCGTACGTCCCATGCGGCGGATCCAGGCCATCTGCGAGCAGCTGTTTCGCGAGTAGTGAAGCGCGCTTGCCCAAGCACAGACGAGCATCCGATGAAGACACCTCCTCCCTAAAAGCTCGGCCAGCGTTTCTGAACCCTCTTGCTGGAAAGCTGGCCCAATTTCTTGAGCACGTGCGCCCCTCCCTCGTTAACAACGGAAGCTGGCACAGGTTTGTTTGCAGAAACTTCCGGGAAGCCTGGCCAGGTGTCTTGCATGACAAGTTTTTTGGTCCCACTCTTGGCTTGTAGGGACCCAGGAGGCCCCCAAGAGGCCCCTCGGAGGCTCTCAAGAGGCTCCCCAGAGAAACCCCCAAGAGGCTCCTGGACCCCCCCAGATTTCGGGCTGGGTGTGTGTGTAGGGTACTCCGAGTTTCTTAATAAGCGTCGGGGGGGCGTCACCCCCGCCGACGCGCCCCGCTCGAAAAGCTTCGAAATGGCCTTCCAAGGCCCTTGCATCCTTCTCGCGCGTCCTTCTGATACGGGCTGGCTGCAAGGAACCCTTTCAGGACTCTCCGATCCCTTCTCAGCAGCTCCCTGCCTCATCAGCAGGCTGGGCCCCCTCGCCCCTCCCTCCCCCCGCTCGTGTGCGCGCCGCCAAGCTTCCGGGCCGACGCACCGCGAGACGCTGCTCTGGGCCGGTGCTTGGCTTCGGAGCGGACCGCGTCGGGGGGGCCCCGCCGCTGGGCTCTGGCAACAAGCGGCCGTCGGAGGGGGACCTGCGAAGGAAGGGTGCGTGTTTTGTGCGAACGATTGCAAAACAACCCTGGATTGCAAAAAAACTCTTGGGTTTTTTTTTGCAACCCTGTTTTTTTTTGCAATCTTTTTTTTGCAATCCTTCGTTTTTTTTGCAATCTTTGGTTTTTTCTTGCAATCCGCAGTTCCAGCACGAGGGCGAGGGTCAACGGTCCCCCTCTCGCTTCTGCGACAACCTTTGGGCTCAGGCCGGTAGGAGTCCGCTTGCGTGCTGCAGGTGTGGCGTGCACTCCCAGAGCAAGGCCTGAGGGCCTTGCCAAGGGGTGCCGTCCGTGTCCGGGTGCAGGCAGGAAGAGGCCAAGGCCCCTTGTGCGCCGAGGCAGGGTGAGGATCAGTCCTCCAGCAGAGTGGATGCGGCCGTGCCCGTGCTTCTCCCCCCAGGAAGCATGTGGGTTGTCTGTTTGAGGCGTGCGGGCATCTTGTGCTGGCAGGATGGGTCGTGCGGCAGCGCAGAGCGCAGAGGAGTGGAATGTAATGGCTTGTGGTCCTTATGACTGAGCACGGTGCAGACTACCATGAATAGTCTGAGACCTAGTCTCCATGTGAAGCCCAGTCGCTGTCGAGATTTGGATGCTTTTAGGCTGAGACCGAGGAGGGGATGTTTAAAACCCGTGCCGGTTCAGACGGCACTGAATTGGACGAGACAGTCGTCGCCGCTGTCGCCGTTGTCGCCGCCGCCGTTGCCGTCGCCGTCGCCGTCGCCGCCGTCACTGCCGCCTCGAAAAATCCGCCTCGAATCGATCCCCTGACTCCTCATGGGGTTCCTCCTGGTTAGGTTTTTGAGCTGCATCCAATCGTGGCGACGAGGGCCTCCAGAGACGCCCGGAAGTCCTCGCCGTCGCCGCCATCGCCATCGCCGCCATCGCCGCCGCGATCGCCGTCATCGCAGCGAATGCCGCCGCCGCGTCGTCGTTGTCGTCGTCGCGGGTTGCGCCGAACATACTCCGCCGAAAACCGATTACCAGACACCTCCTGAGGGTGCGTTCCGACCAGACTCGAGGCGAATCTAGCCGTGACGGCGAAGGTGCCCCAGGAGGCCCAAACAAGGCAGAAAATATCAAGATCGACGCCGAACGTCGATGTCGTCGTCGCACGCCGAAAATCGCTGTCGCCGTCGTCGTCGTCGTCGTCGTCGTCGTCGTCGTCGTCGGAACCCCTCCCGACCAGGTGTGCGTGTGTGTGTGTGTCTTCAGGCGAGAATCTAGAGGCGGATCCATCAGTGGCGATGAGAGGCTCCTGGAGGCCCAACGAGGGCCAAAAACTTACAGAAACCTCCATCCTCGATCGTCGCCCCGTTGTCGCCGCCGTTTTCCTCGACTTGGGCCGTCGCCGCCGCCGCCGCCACCGCCGCCGTCGCCGCCGCCGTCGTCGTCGTCGTCGTCTTCGTCGTCGTCGTCGTCGTCGTCGTCGCCGCCGTCGTCGTCGTCGGCGGCGGCGGCGGCGTCGTCGCCGCGGACTGCGCCGCTGCCCCCGTCTCCGCAGGCCCAACAGAACAGCAAAACGCAGTCCTCGGTCGCCGCTGTCGCCACCGCCGCCGTCGCCGTCGCCGCCGCCGCCGCTGCCGCCGCCGCCGCCGCCGTCGCCACCGCCGTCGCTGCCGCCGCCGCCGCCCGTCGCCGCCGCCGCCGCGCATGCTTCCGCTGCCGCTCGTCGCCCCCGCCCTCGCCCAGCTCGGCCCCGCGCCTGGCTGGCGCTGCGCAGTCCGGTGCCGCCGCGGCGACGCTCCGGCCCGGGATGGTGACGGGAGGCCCGCCGCACTCGGCCTGGGTCGACCTGCACGTAGGTAATGACCTTTGCGGTTCGTGGAGGATTTCTCAGAGGAGGAAAAGGTACCCATACCTCCACCCCCGCGCCCGTTTTCCCTTTTTTGGGCCTCCTGGGTGGCCCTCGTCGCCACCGCTGCATTTGCTTGGAAACTCTGGTCAGAACGCACGCGGGGAGAGGTCCGGGGAGTAGCAGTATCGGTACCTCTTGATTTCGCCAATTTCGTGGGATTTCGGTGGATTTGGGCGACATGCGGACGACACGTGGGCGAGATTTGGAAGGGTGGAGAGGGGTGGTCGAAATCTGGACGAAGTCCAGTCGAAATCATGTTTGCGATAGGGCCGCGGAGGTCCACAGAGGCTCCCATTAGGATGGGGCTAGGACGAGGAGTGACCCTTCGCTGGAGTGACGTTTGGTGCGGGCCCATTGGTGTCCCCCGATCGCCGAACGCGATGCGATAGTAGCGTCTTGCTCGCTTGTGTTTGGTCCCCCCGCGGCCCTCCGAAAGCCACACACCAAAGGTCACTATCGCCTGGGTTCGCTCTTGCGTGTAGCCGATGGGCTTGGGTCGACTGCACGCACGAGCGACCTTTCTCGGACGGGGTTAGGGCGAGGACAAGTCTGTTCCAGAGCGAGTGTTCCGGAATGCCCTCCGAGCGTTCCGGAGCGCTCTGAGAAGGCCGCGCCGCCCGGTACATCCTCCAGAGCCAGTGGCTCTCAGAGATTCTCGATTCATCCTCGCCTGAATGTATCCTCGTTCTGGCGTCGTCTTACTTTCGCCAGAGTGCCCATTGGTGCGGTGCATTGGGTCCGCGGCACCCAACATACTAATACTACGTGTGCGTCGCCCCCCCAGGGGCGACGCGCGCACCGAGAAATCGTACAGTATATGCCTCGTGGCGGGCGCTCTCTGGCCGTACCGCTCGGGGAACGATCTACCACAAGGTGGTTGTACTAGATGTTCGGGTCGCACGCACGCCTCCGAGGAGAACACATAGTACTAGTATGTCTCTTTGTGCGCCCCATTGGAGGTTCCCAGATGGCCGACTGCGATATCACAGCAGAGGGTAGCAAGCTCGGGCTTGGCCCCCCGCGCCCCCCAGCAGCCGCGTGTTAAAAGTCACTCTTGCCTACAGGGTCCAGTCTTGCGTGTGCAGTCGACCCGCATAGTAAGGATGCGTGACTTTCCCAGGCTACCCTTGCATCCTTGCCTTAAGTCGGGCATGTCCCTCTACAGAAGGAATTTTCAAAAACCGTCAAGACATAGTCAGGGAACGATTTTCTAATTATTTTTGGCTACTTTGACTATTTCAATGTTTTTGTTCCAAAATCCGCCTGTAGGAGGATATGCCCGACCTAACCCTTGTCCCTTCGACCCATCCTTGGTACCTTTCGCTGGCCAACCTCGTTTGAAAAACATCAATGTGGCCCTCCAAATCCCTTGCATCCTTACCGCGCGTCCTTCTTGTACGGGTTGACTGTAGCCGAGGGTGCAATCTCTCGAGGAGCTCACCACTAGTTCGTCTTATTGTCAAGGGAGGAACAGCCACCCGGACCCGACAATTGCCGCTTACTGAACGGCCCTGGGCGTTTACTGAACAGCCCTGCCCTGTTCGATTCCTTCCTTGGGTGCGTCTACTGAACGGCTTCGCCTGTCGGGAGGGAAGAGGGAGGGGGGAGGAGGGAGGAGCGAGGAGGGAGGAGGGAGGAGGGAGGAGGGAGCAGGGAGGAGGGGATTTTCTGCCGTCCACATTGGCCCCGGCCGGTGCGCGTGGCCTGCCTCCTGCCCCGCCCCCGCCCCCAGGAGGGCGCGCCTTCGGCCGAGTGGTCCTCCTGGTTGCTCGTGCCCCCCCACGGGGACCCACGGCCTCTCGCAGACTCGGCTGGCCCAGTCCCGCCACTCCACGCCCAGCGGAGGCCCATGCCAAGAGGCACCCTGCTTGCCTCCGGGGTCGCCCTGGGCCTCTTGCGCTTCGGTGGTCTTGCTGCGGGAAGCGCGACGTTCCCACGCCAACAGTCAATGGACGTCCTGGGGTCCCAGGGTTTGGGTTTCCTGTGGAGGGTTTCTTGCGGTCGGGTCCCTGCTGTCGCGTTTCGCTCGAGGGTTCCAAGCGTGTTGCGCACGGAGTCCTACAGGGGGGGGCCAGGGAGCCCGAGACCGCCCCGTCCAGCAGCCGTTTCGCCCGAGGCTTCCTCGCGAGCGACTTTGTTCGGGAATCGGTCTGTCGCCACAGTGCCAGTAGGAGGAGGAGGAGGAGGAGGAGGAGGAGGAGGAGGGAGGAGGAGGAGGAGGAGGAGGAGGAAGAGGATGAGGAGGAGGAGGAGGAGGAGGGGAGGAGGGGGAGGAGGATGATGATGATGAGGAGGAGGAGGAGGAGGAGGAGGAGGAGGAGGTGGAGGGGGAGGAAAAGGCGGAGGAGGAGGAGGAGGAGAGGGAGGAGGAGGAGGAGGAGGAGGAGGAGCAGCTACAATCTCGGTCCGCACGGCCACGAGCCCTTTACAAACATACGCTACAAGGTGCACAGGGCCGCGCTGCCACCCCTGCCCCCGCGCCTGGTGCCGGCTGCATCTTCCCTGGGAATCTCTGAGGACTTCCCAGGAATGCATCTTTCCCAGGAATCCCTAGGGATTCCCAAGACTCCCTTGGAATTCCCAGGAATTCCCAGGAGTCCCTTGGACTTCCCAGGACTCCCTGGGACCTCCCAGGAACTCCTCGATCCGCCTTTGGACTTTTGCTGCTACAAGGGGGCTCTGCTGGGGTAATGTCATTTCGCGGGTGCAGGCTTTAGATCGGGGGTGGACAGAACCCCCACCCTGACACGTCGATTAGTGAATTGTCCGTTTTCGGTTCTCGAGAGGGCGCCGCGGCCGTCATTTTCCAGGCTCGCGCCCGCCAGGTTTGGGCCCGAGGTTGTTTTCACTGAACCACGTTTTACTAAAGGGATTTCTGTCCATCCCCGATTAGATTCTGTGCTTTGACCGAGGTGTCCCCAGTTTGGCCGTTGGAGAGTAGGCCTCCGCTCGTTCTGCCTCCGACTGGGGCCCTGTGCCCCATCCCGCCCTGCGTCCACCAGTCAGCTGATGATGTGGTGACCTGGACAATGTGCAGATCCGCCGTCGCCGCCTCATTCCATCCTCTTCCACCTCCTCCCTCTTCTCCTCTCCTTCCCCATCTATTTCCTCCTCCTCTCTGCTCTTCGCGGGCGCGTCCCTGGATAGCCGCCGCCGCCGCCCCAGACATGCTCGCGTCGTGCAAACAGCACGACAGGAGTTCATTCGGCCTTTTTTCGGTCTCTGGGGGCCCTCGCCGGGCCCCGGGACCGTGACAACCTACTGGGGATGAAAAGCTTGCCCCAGGGAAAGGGTCGGAATTCCGGGGGCCCTCTCCTCCTCCTCCTCCTCCTCCTCCTCCTCCTCCTCCTCCTCCTCCTCCGCCTCCTCCGCCTCTTCCCCCTCCGCCTACTTGTTGGGGGGGCCGCATTCGGCCTACGCCTCCGATTCGGCACTCCGCGCGTTCAGGCTCGGCGGCATGTCGCCGGAGCGCCGTCGGTGTCAGTCGAGGTGCGGGCGCACCCTCTGTGGGGCCGCGCCCCCCTCCTCAGCCCCCATGGTGACTGGGGGAGGCGTGTCGCTGGGGGGCTCCGCTGGCGCGCGGCCCGCAGGCGTGCTTGCGGCGGCATCGTCTGCCGCCCTTGTTGGCCCAGGGGGGCCCTTCGGCAGCCGGCGGGCCGTCGAACGGGGCTCTCGCCTCATGCCACGCTGAGCCGCGGGCGTCGCGCGAAAGTGCATCTCCGCCTCCTTTCCATCAGCCCGACACTGTGAGTGCAGGCCGTTCGCTGCATGGAAGTGCTCCTGGCTCGCAGCTGGTTGTTTCGAGCACCCCCCCTGCCTCAACAATCCAACGGGCGTCCTTTTGGCCTGTCTTTTTTTATGAGGGCGAGCCGTAATCTAATCTACACTGGCCGCCGACCCACTTTCTGCTCCGAGCGTCTTGCGAGTCGATCCAGAGTTCTGTTCTGGAACGCGCTGGAAGTTCTGTGGTGCCAGAGTTCAGTCGGGCACGTCCCTGTACATGAGGAACACTCAGAAACAGTAGACAAATAGTCTGGGGATTCTGCGCTAAAGAACTTTAGTTAATTGTTTTGTGTGTTGTATATATATATATATATATATAGATACAAGACTGCAGTGGCGCTTCGCGCCATGCACCTTGGTCCTTGAAGTTTGGTATGCAGGCGGAATAGCAGGAAGGTCAAGGCGACAATTTAGAGATAACTCCTGGTTGCCTTTTCTGGCATTGCCGCTGTAATAATGTTATTCGTTATCCTTCCTCCATGCTTTTTTTTCCTCATTTTCGCCATGCCCTGCGCATTCTCCCCATCCTCCTCAGCTCTTTTTTGCGGAGGCTCCTCATTAGAGAGCCTCTGGGGGCCTCACAAGAGTTGTTTCAGGCTTTCTTAAGGCCTTCTGGAGACCTCCTGGGCGTATTCTGGGGGCCTCCAGGGGCTTCCTCGGGCCACCCTGCCTCCAACCGCGGTCTCCCTGAACGACCGAATCACGATTTGGAATTCTTCGGAGGGTGTCTTTGGGTCATCTTGGGCCGCCATGGGGCTCTCTGAGGGCCATCTTGGACCCGTGTTGTGCCGTTTTGGGGCTCTCTTGGACTGCCTGGAAGCCCTTTCGGATGGTTGTGGGGCGACCTTGGAGCCTCCCAGGCGGCTTCGGACGCCCAGAAGACCGCCGTCTTGGAGCGTCGGGAAGCCGAAAAGAGGAGAACCCGAAAATTAACCAACACCCACAGAAAATTAATGATTTTTGCCTCGGGGGGGAGTCCGGTTTTTTTTTTGGGGGGGGGGTGATGGGTTCCCCCCCCCCCCCGGGGCTTATAAAAATATAGGAAGAGGAATAAGAGACTTTGTTGTTGGACCATGTTTGCATCTGTTTGGGCTATTGTTTCACCTCTCGTCCAACATATCCGCCTGCAGGAGGGCGTGCCCGATCCAAACCCGATGCCCGAGGCGCCCTCTGCGCTCGCCCTCGCCCTCCTCGCGGAGACCCCCCGCGCCCGCCGCTCGCCCGCGCCCTGCCCGCGCACGCTCCCTGCCTGCGCGCCTCGCTCCCCTCTCCCCCCGTCTCGCTTGGCTGCCGCCCCCCCCCCCGCCCCCGCGGGTTGGCGACCGCTCCTCCGCGCCTTCGCGCGCCCCTCGCGCGCGCCCCTCGCGCGCTCGGTGCCTCCTCGCTCCTCGCCTCCGCCCTTCCCTCCCTCCCTGCCAGTTGCGCCCTCCCTCCTGCTCCCTCCTGCGCCCTCCCTCCGATATCCCCTCTGCTCCCTCCCCTCTCGCCCCCTCCCTTGCCCCCCTCCCTTCTCCAGGCATGCCACGTCGTCGAGCTCCTTTCAGTGCGGGGAGGTCCCGATCCTGTCCCCGGGGCCGGTGTCTCGTCCCGAGCCGTTTTCCGACCGGGGAGAGCCCGCCAGAGGCCGGGAAACGGTGAACAACATTTTGTCGTGACTCTTTGACGATGCAGGCGTGTCTGGGTTTTTTATTTTTGAAAATGAAAAATTGCATTTGGGATATATTCAAATTTGAAATGAAAGCATTGTGTATTTGTTTTTGTGTGCACGTTATAACTTGCAATATTTTGTTCCTCTTCCCCCCTCCGCCGTTCCGTTCCGTAGCGGCTCAGAAGGTGCCCGTCCGTGGAGGAAGTCGTGCACAGGGGAAAAGGGACAAGGCATGGGACAGTACACGAAAACAGGCGCCACTCCTCTGGAGGCGCCTCGATCACAGCTTTTCTCGTAGGAGGAGCAGTGGAGGGGGGATTTGCGGCTCAGGCCAGCTTCATAAGCCTCCCTGGTCAAAGGACCAACCAACCGACAGGCCGGCCTAGCCCCCCAACGTCTGGCGGCTCCCCCCCAACTGGCGGCTCCCTCCCAACCCCCTGAGATCCGACGCTGCGAAACATTGCAACACCGTGGAAAGTCAGGACAGGACTCCTAGACTTCATTTTTCTGCTGCACTTCTCGATGTGGCTGGGGGGCCACGTGCGCACCCTGCCTCATTCCCCCCGCTATTTCCGAGGGGCAGGGTGGGGTTCGCGTCGCTCGGGAGCTCCCGAGCGAAGTGAACCCCACCTCCTCCCCTGAGAAATCTTGGGGGTCAGGGGTCGGGTTCGCATGTGGCCCCCCGGGTGGATCGATCCGCGAGGGCTCCAGACCTCGAAGCCGGGCCAAGCAACGCCCGGCGTGAAGCACATGCAGCGGCCGGATCATTTCACGGCTGTCGGGCCAGCCCCCCCCTCCCCCCTCCTCTCTTGCTCTTGGCTGCCTCTCGTTGCCGCCTCCAGGCCCCCTCAATTCCCCCCCCCCTCTCTCCTTCTCCTTCTCCCTCCCTCCCTCCCCAGACACCCGACGTTCATTTTTTTTTTTTTTTTATGACGTCGACCCCAGGAGGTCTCGACGCCTTACCCAAGGCCAGGTTTTTTTTTTTTTTCCTCCCGAGTCCTCTTCCGACGGCCCTGGGGCCCGGCGAGGGACGCCCCCCCCCCCCCCCCCCAGAGGCCGGAAGTAGCGTAACACCCCTCGTCGTGATTTTTCTCGCGACCCGAGGGGATTTGGGTCCCTCGCTCCCGGAGGGAGCGAGGGACCAGGAGGGAAGGGAGAGGAGGAGGAGGAGGAGGAGGAGGAGGAGGAGGAGGAGGAGGAGGAGGAGGAGGAGGAGGAGGAGGAGGAGGAGGAGGAGGAGGAGGAGGAGGAGGAGGAGGAGGAGGAGGAGGAGAGGAGGGAGGGGGGAGAGGAGGAGGAGGGAGGGAGGGAGGAGGGAGGGAGGAGAGAGGAGGGAGGGAGGGAGGGAGGGAGGGAGGGAGGGAGGGAGGGAGGGGGGAGGGAGGGAGGAGGGAGGGGGAGGAGGGGGGAGGGAGGGAGGGAGGGAGGAGGAGGAGGAGGAGGAGGAGGAGGAGGAGGAGGAGGGAGGAGGGAGGAGGGAGGAGGGAGGAGGAGGAGGAGGAGGGAGGAGGGGAGGGAGGAGGGAGGAGGGAGGAGGGAGGAGGGAGGAGGGAGGAGGGAGGAGGAGGAGGGAGGAGGGAGGAGGGAGGAGGGGGGGAGGGGGAGGAGGAGGAGGAGGAGGAGGAGGAGGAGGAGGAGGAGGAGGAGGAGGAGGAGGAGGAGGAGGAGGAGGAGGAGGAGGAGGAGGAGGAGGAGGAGGAGGAGAAGGGAGGGAGGGAGGGAGGGAGGGAGGGAGGGAGGGAGGGGGGAGGGAGGAGGAGGAGGGAGGAGGGAGGGAGGGAGGACCGCTTGTGGACCCCCAAGATGCCGTGTTGGAGCTCCTGGGGCCCCCTGGGCCTCCCGAGGAGTGCTCTGGATGCCACCTACCTGGGCCTGCGTGGAGGAAAAGCTGGGGCTATGAATGACCAGGGTCGCCCCTCCTCCTCCTCCTCCTCCTCCTCCTCCTCCTGCTCCTGCTCATCCCTCCCTCCCTCCCCCTGGAGGGCCCCTTCGCTCGTTTCGCGCCCCTTGGTCCGCCCTTCGTTTCGGTTTTCGGCCCCGTCGGGCCCCCGTTCGCTCGGGCGTCCACGGAGTCAGCGCATTGCCTCACCCACGCACGCACATCACCGGGCGCTCTCCACTACTCGCAAAGTGTCGACTCGCAAACGTCCGAAACAAACTGCCTGCCTCGATGCAATGTGTCGTAGATCCTGCTCGGCGGAGCCAGGCCATCTGCAAGATGTCTTTTTGGCGAGTAGTGGAGCGCGGTTGTCTAGCACAAGCACCGAGCACTTTCTTCCGTGTAGGGCAAAGGGTGAAATCTGAAGTGCCGTCTCGATGGGTTTTCGAGGCTTGACTCTGCAAGAGGTGGACCACAAGACGGATCGGTTTTCGGGGTGCAGAAGCCCAAATGGATTTCACCCTGCGCCCTCCATCCTAAGAAAATGCTCAGACGCAGCCCTCCCCCCCCCGCCGCGCTCGGACCGGAGGCGCCCGCCGCGCCGAGGAGGCGCGCGCCCTCGGCCCCGGCTGCTACGGCGACATGCAGCACGTGGGGGCCCTGCAGTGGCACCACGAGCACGGGACGCTCCGGCCCGGGAAGGACCAGCGCTCGTCTTTCGTCGGGGGTGGACAGAACCTTCAACAGTGACTCGTCGATTAGTGGATTGTCCGTTTCCGGTTCTCGAGAGGGCGCCGTGGCCGTTATTTTTCCAGGCTTGCGCCCGCCAGGTTTGGGCCTCAGGTCGTTTTCACTAAACCACGTTTTACTAAAGGGGGGTCTGTCCATCCCCCATCTTTCGAGTGGGGGAATCGACTACATAATCGAATTACCCCAGAACTGTTTTTTCCTTTCGCATCTCAAAAAGTACGACGGAACATTCTGCGTTTTTTTTTTTTTTTTTTTTTTTTTTTTTTTTTTTTTTTTTTTTTTTTTTTTTTTTTTTTTTTTTTTTTTTTTTTTTTTTTTTTTTTTTTGTGTTAATTTTCGCACATCATACGAGAAATATGGATTTTAGGGCAATTCAATTTTTGTAGTCGTTCCCCTACTCGAGTGTTGGGCCCAGACATGCTAGCGCCGCGAAACATTGAGGACGGGAGGCTTTTGGCCGTTTTCAACCTCTGGGGGCCCTCGCTGGGCCCCAGGACCGTCAAAAAGCGGCTCAGGATGAAAAGCCGGTCCTGGGGAGAGGGTCGGGACTTCTGGGGACCCCCGTCTCGAAAAAAGCCGGATCTCGTGAGTCTGGGTCCGGCGAGCCGAAAACGAGGCCGCACGCGCTTCGCCCCCTATAACTTCTATGACGGGGGCTTTTCGGGCCAGGTTGAGGTTGCCCACGGTGCAGCACCGAACGAGCATCGTCGACGACCAGGCCGGAGGCAGCGCACAGATGCCGTGCACAGTTCGGGCGGGCGGTGCTGTCGGTATCATTTAACCAATCCCCATCCCCATCCCCATCCCCTTCGAGACCCCCACCAGATTCCCCCCCCCAGTTGGGGATCTGCCCCTCGAAACCCGAGGGGAGCGGCCTGTGTCCCCATCCAGGGGGGTAAATCGGCCAGTGGGGCCCAGGCCGCGCCGCTGGGGATGGGGATCGGTTGCTCCAGATTTCGTAATAAAAGGGAGGGGGTCTGGACCCTCCAAGACAAGCCATTTCAGACCTCCCCCGTGGGAGAACCCTCCAAAACATCGTCCCCAGACCCCCCAGGCCCTCCAAGATAGCCTGAAAGAGACCCCCCTCCGAAATGAGACCCCCCTCCCTTTATTACGAAATCTGGAGTAAACGATACTCATAGTGGGGTGGTGTTCCACATGGGGGGTGAAGCAGAGGGCCCCTTTAGGGCCCCTTTTCCTCACCCCAAATTTGGGTCACCCCCCATTACCGTTAAGTCGGGCGTGTTCCTCTACTGGAGGAATAAAATGCTCAAACTATTCAAAATAGAACTTCAACATTTAAACATAGGAATACAACATAATTAATTTTGGTTTTTTTTGAATGTAACTGTTTTTGACTATCATTGTTTTGCTTCTCTCCACGTTCTGCCTGTAGGAGGACATGCCCGACGTAACGTTACCGCCCGTCCGACAGGGGGGCTTCATCAAAAAATCCGAGTCCTCCCACCCTGCCGGCCTACTCCTGCCAGGGCAGGGCCAGCGGCCAGGGGAGAGGGCCACGAAGCCAACGACGGCTCCCGAGGGGAGCGGGTCCTGGAGATTTTGTCGCCGTCTTCGGGGCTCTGGGGGCCCTCTACTACGGGCCCTGGGGCCGTCAACGAACTCCTCAGGACGAACAGCGGGGGTCCAGGGCTCGCTTTCTGGAGGACCCGTTTGCTTCATTCGAGTAGAGGATTGATTACAGAATTGCGTTACTTCCAAAAATCATTTTCTCGCCGAGTCTATGAAACATATACAGAATTCCCCGTCGATTTGCGAGCATTTTGCGGTTTCGTCAGAGATTTCGTGGGGAAAATGAGTTTTGGGGTAAATCAATTATGCAGTCGATCCCCTGCTCGATTTATGTCAACAAGAGTGTCAAGGCCGCGCCTCCGTCGGGAGCTCGCCGGCGTGCTATACCCTTCTCTCGCCGAGGGCATGGTGCATACGGTGCTTCTTCAGCAGCCATGCGCTGATGGGCTTCCCTCGGCGGCGTGTCAGCGATGCACTCAACCCGCACAGTCAGCATGGGCAGCTCTCCCAAGGGTACCCTTGCCTCCTTGCCTCCTCGGCCCATCCTTGGCCACTCTCGCTGGCCGCGCCCCGCTCGAGAAGCTTCGACATGGGGCGTCCGAGGCCCTTGCGTCCTTGTCGCGCATTCTTTGCTACGGGCCGACTGTGCTGTTGTTTGCTCCCCCGCCAGAGCACACACCCTTGGTCCAGGCGTCAGGCGCGGAGAGTCTTCTTCTCAGCCCGCGGCGCTTCTCTGCAGCTATTCGGCCTCCCGCGGGCCGTTTCTGCGGGCCACAGGCCCTCTCAGACACGGGCCCGGGGCGAGGACCTGCCCCTGAGGAGGATGAGGAGGAGGAGGACGAGGAGGAGGACGAGGACGAGAACGAGGACAAGGACGAGGATGAGGACAAGGACGGGGGAGGACGAGGACGATGAGGAGGAGGAGGAGGAGGAGGAGGAGGAGGAGGAGGAGGAGGAGGAGGAGGAAGGAGGAGGAGGAGGAGGAGGAGGAGGAGGAGGAGGAGGAGAATGAGAGGGAGGAGAGGAGGAGGAGGAGGACGAGGACGTGGACGAGGACGAGGACGAGGACGAGGACGAGGAGGAGGAGGAGGAGGAGGCGGAGGAGGAGGAGGAGGAGGAGGAGGAGGAGGATGATGATGCTGATGATGATGATGATGATGATGATGATGATGATGATGATGATGATGATGATGATGATGATGATGATGATGATGATGATGATGATGATGATGATGATGATGATGATGATGATGATGATGATGATGATGATGATGATGATGATGATGATGATGATGATGATGATGATGATGATGATGATGATGATGATGATGATGATATAAATACGTTTACGGTTGATGTGTGGGCTAAGGGTTCATAGCGTGTAGCATCGGCCGTTCAGAGAATGCATGGCAGCTGTTCTGGCTTCAAGTGAGGCCCTCGAGGAGGGCATGCTTCCTGAGGGCTCCTCCGCGTGCCTCGCCGCCCCGCGGGCCCAGCGGCTCCGCTTTTGCGGCTGGTGCTCTGGGCGGCTCGCCCCCGGGGAGAACCTCGCGTTGGCGGAGGCAGGCGCGCTGCTGGAGGTCTGCGAGCTCTGCTACCTCCTGGCGCTCGCGAGACAGGCGGCCCGCGAGGCGCGGCTGGCGCCGCGGGAGAGAACGCTCCCGGTCGACCAGGTGCGCTTGCTGGCGGCCCAGCTCGGGGCGCTTTTGACGCTCGAGCCCGATGCCGCCGAAGGCCAACGCCAAAGCCAAGGGCAAGGCGAAGGCTAAGGCCATAACCTGCAGCGCACGCTCGTGGGCGAGGCCGCGGAGCTTTCGGAGCTGGCGGCGGCGGCCGACGCGGCCGTGGAGGCGGTACTCAGCCTGGTGGGCCTGGCGCGGCCGCGGGCGCCGCAGGGGCCTTCCCGCCCGCCGCAACAGGCGCCGCGGCGGCAGCTCCTGCGGGCGGCGCGGCTGGGGCGCCTGTGGTGCCTGGTGTCGGCGCCTTGCCTGGGCTCCCTGGCGCCCTTGGCGGTGCTGGAGGCGGCGTGCCGCCCGCCCTGCCTGCGGGCCCTGGCGCAGCGGCTGCTGGAGGTGGCGGCGTTGGCGTGCGTTGGTCGGCGCTCTGGCTGCAGGCGGCGCTGGCGGTGCAGGAGCTGCTGGGGCGCCCCCCGCCGCGGGCCCCGCAGGTGCGGGCGCCGTCCTCGGGGTGCTCGGAGGCGCGGTGGTGCCAGCGGCAGGCGTGCAGTTCGGCGCCTTGGTGGACGGCGCTTGGACGCAGGCCTCGACCTTGGTGGGGGCGAGCTGGACCAAGGGGCTGACGCTCGAGGTCCCTACCCACGACCCCGCAGGAGTCATCCGCGGCACCGCGCTGTTCGAGGTGGACGAGGTCGGGTTGCCTGGCGCGGGGGGGCAGTATCTTAGCGCCCAGTTCAGGGGAGCGTCGCTGCCTGCGGAGGCGATGCGCTTGGACGGCGCCGTTCCTGCGCGCGGTGCAGGGCCCTCGGGGCTGCTGCACCTGTGCGCGCAGGGGCCCGTGCGCTGTGGCGAGCCTGCTCAAGCTTGACGCGCTGTGCTGCACATGGAGTGGCTGCGGCTTCGCTTGGCGCGCGGGCTGGTGGAGCCCTGGGTTCGCCCCACCGCCTTCGGCGGCCGGGGCGGTGGCGGCAGTCGCTGCGCGACAGGTCCCTTGCCTGGAGGTGCGCCTGCGGATCGCCTTGCTGCAGCTGCCGCGGCCCGCGCTGAAGGAGGAGGAGGCGCCGCTCCTCGCGCGCTCGGAGGCCGCGGCAGATGCCGCCAGCGGAGCGAGTCGGCCAGTCGCAGTGATGGCGATGGGGAGCTGCTTTTTCGCGACGCGCCCTCCCGCGGCGGCAGTGTGAGGCTACTGGCGGAGAGGTCACCCGGCGCCCTCTACGACGAAGCGATGCAGAGCATCGCGCGCGTGATGGGCCTGCGGGAGGGGGCGGGCGGCAGCGAGACACGTCCGAAGGTAGTCGGGTACTTGCAGGCGATCGTCTTCGGTCACTATCCCGTGTCGCAGTTGCGGGTCAACGCGGTGCGGGAGCTGCAGACGCTTGCGACGGCGCTGAATCTGCTGGAGTCCGGGTCCTTGGCGCAGGTGTGCCACGTGCTGATGCAGCGGTTCAAGGCTCTGGAGTTTTCGCTGTCGGACGCGAGCTGGTAGGTTGCGAGCGAGCTGGGGATCGTGCCCGACGCGAGGCCGTCGCTTGCGTCCATGGGCGAGCGGGACTTGGCACGGCGCTCGGCAGTGCTGCGCAGGCGCTTGCAGGACGCAAAGATCCGCGGGGCTTTCAGCAGCGCCGCCCGCGGCGATGCGAGGGAGAGGGCGCGGGAGGGCTCGAGACCGCGCTCGCCCTCCCCTCGCGCGCCCCACTCCCGCTCCAGGGGCTCTGACGGAGGGGGGCGCAGCCGAGAGCGCCCCGCCGCAGCGCCCTCCGGCGGCCCCGCGCGCCCCCCATCGCCGCGCGGCGAGCGGACCCCGCGCGGCGACGGCCTTCGCCCGAGGCGGGTCGCGCTGGCCCGCGGCCCCGAGCGTCGCAGCCTCAGGCCAGAGGAGCCGGCGGCCGCAGCAGGGGCGCCTCGGGGGGCAGGTCCCGGTCGCCCGCGGCGCCGTGGCGGCAGGGGGCGGAACGCGGGCAGGACCAACGGTTCGCGACCCCACCCCCCTGGAGGGGGTGCAGTTCGCGACGCTGCGGCTCTGCGATGAGGCCGAGTGATGGTGCCCGTGCTGATGATGCTTGAGCGAACGCGGCCAGTTCCTTGCAGGCCGCCTCCTCGAGCAGACCGCCTTGGGCCTCTCCGTCGCGCTCGCCGCCCCCGCGCCGTGCCGCGCCGCTGCAGCCCCCCGCGCTCGCTGCTGCTGGAAATAGCTCAGCCTGGGCTGATCCGCTGGCCGACTGGCGGGAGCTTGCGGGGGCCGCGGGCGATTTGCTCAGGGAACCTTTTGACGTGGGCCCTGTCCTGCTAAACCTGTTCAGAGCCTTCCTTGGTTCGCTTGGTCGCTATGTTCGGGACTCCCTCGATGTGAAGCGACGCGAGCGCGTGGCCACAGGGGTGTCAGATGCAGTACCGTACCCTACCATCGTGAGGACCGACGTCGTGCGCGACGGCGAGGACCTCGGCGATGTGAACTGGGAGGCGCTCCACTGCAGGCTGGTTGTTACTGTGCTTGCGCTCAACTGGGAGGCGGGCTTCCGCTCGCTTAAGTTTGCGCGCTGCTGCCGTGGCCGTGGCAACGCGGCCCAGCGGGCTGCCCTGGCTGGCTTGGCGCGGCGGCTCTTCCCGGCCACGAGGATCGAGACCAGCCTGCCCAATGATCTGAACTGGGAGGACCGCCTGAAGGATGGGGAGATCGGTCACGGAGGGTCTGAGATCGCGACGCCCCACAAGCTCACGCTGGAGCAGGTGCTTGACGGGTTGCCGCCGCTGGGAGTCGCCGCTTCGATCGTCGAGGCCGCCGACGTCGCGACGGGCTTCGGCCGCGACGCCCTGCTCGACCCGTCGCCGGTACTGCTGCCGCCTGGGCTGCGCCGCGCGGCCCCCGCTTCAGCGCGGGTTTGGGCTGCTGATGGCCAGTGACATCGCATCGTGGACGCTTTGTACGCGCGGGGCATGATCGCCGCGATCCCAGCGAGTGAGATCGCTCGCCGCGACGGGACCCCCCTGCTGAACGGCGGGCGCCTTTGGTGTCCCAAAGGCCCACGGCGCTCCTGTCAAGTGCAGTGATGGGGGGCCGCGGCCCGTGCTTAGGCTCATCGCGAATCTGATCCCGTCGAACGCGTGTCAGGAGTGCGTCGTGGGGGACGCGCCCGAGATGCCGACGACGAGCCAGCTCAGCGGTGCAGTGCCCACGGAGTCCGAGGACCTGCTGTGGAGCGGCGCCGACAGGAAGTCCTTCTCCAACGTCTTCCGCGCGCCGCCGCCGCGGCGGCCGCGCGCGGTGATCGGCCCCCCCGTCCCCTCGCGCCTCTGGGCCTCAAGGATGGTGGCTCTGCTTACATCTGCCTGTGCGTGATCGGGATGGGGCGGACGAGCGCGGCGGGGGTCGCGACTCACCCTTGCCGCAATATGCTGCGCCGGAGCAGTTCGGTGCCGCGCGGGCTTAGCCCTAGCTGCGAGATCACGCGACGGCGCCGATTGCCGATGGGCGTGGAGAGGCCGTGCCCGCCTGCCTGGATGGTCTACATTGACAATCTGGAGATCGCGGAGATCGTCGACAAGTCCGAGGCGGAGAAGCTGCGTGGGACGGTGCCGGCGCTGCTGTCTGACGCGCGGGCTTGCTATGAAGCGGCTGGCTCGCCTGGGTCGCCGGGCAAGGACCTGTGCCGCGTGGTGCGGGCCGCGACCTTGGGCGAGCTAGTTGATGGAGTTGAAGGGGTGCGCCGCCCTCCTGCAGGATACCTCGCCGAGATGGCCAGCCTGACGTTGTGGGTCCTTAGCAAGAAGCGGGCCAGCATGTGGTTGATGCGCATCCTCCTTGGCCGATGGGTGCGAGTGCACTGCTTCCGCCGCCCGCTGGCTACGAGCTTCGCCCGCGCCTGGCGTTGGCTCGGCGACCCGCGCTGCGAGGCTGCTTCAGCGTCGACATCGTCGAGGACCTGCTGATGTGCCTCGCGCTGTCGGGCCTTTGCGTGGCTGACATGCGGCTCGAGGTCGACCGCCTGGTGGCGGCGTCGGACGCTTCGGAGGCTGCAGGCGCCGTGGTCTACAGCGCGGCCCTCACTGGCCGCGGCCGCGTGCTGGCTGTGAGGCGCCAGCGGCCTGCCGACGCCGCTGCCGAGGAGGAGACCGCCTTGATCACCGTCTTCGACGGGATCGGCGGTGGTCGCAGGGCCTTCGATCCTCGGGTTGGTCCCCGCGGTTCACCTGTCGTTCGAGGTGGACCCCCAGGCGGTGCGCGTGGCGCGGCGCTGCTACCCTGGGACCCAGCACCTTGGGGATGTGACGGAGGCGGACGCGCCCTCTTTGGCAGGCCTGCCGCGGGCGCGGGGCCGCATCGCGCGCGTGCTGGTCATCGGCGGTTTCCCCTGCCAGGTGTACGCGGGCCTCAACGTGGACCGCCGGGACTCGTCGGGCCCTCGAGCCTCCCCCGTCGACTGCATGGTCGAGCTCATTGGGGGTTTGCGGACGGCCATGTCTGAGGCGACGGTTGACTTCCTGGGCGAGAACGTTGCTTCGATGGCTGAGTCCGATGTTCTTCACTTCGAACGGCTCTTCGAGCGTGTCCCTCTGGAGATCGAGGCCGGTGACGTCGGCTGGGTCAAGCGGCCCCGCCTAT